GGGACCCAGACCCCCCTCGCTCCCACCCCCTGTTCCGTGGGGCTGCCCCTCCCCTCCATTACCTTTCTGGACTTTGTCGCAGAGCAGATAGAGCTCCTCCCCACCCGTGCAGGGCCCGCACTCCTTGTTCATCCGGCAGATCCTCAGCTCCGACGTGTTGGTGGATTCTGCACAGCCACAGCTCAGTTCAGCCACGGCACAGAGCCAGCCCTGCCTCCGTCCTTCCCCAGCCAGGTGGATCCAGCTGGCATCCAGGAACCAGCCTCCCCCCGCCCCTCCCGGCAGGCTGGCTGCCATGAAGGACCCTGACCTGGGTGACGTCAGCTTTGGGGCAAGGTGGGGGCGCCCTGGGCCAGGGAACGCAGCTGGCTCTGCTGCTGGACAACCAGGAAGCTGGGCCAGTCACAAGTCTGCAGCCATCTCTACAGGCCCACTGTGCTGCTCTCCACAGCCACCTGGAGCTTCCTGGCACTGCCAGCCTACGCCGTTAGCAGTGCGGAGCCCATGGCACACAGGAGGGGAGTGGCCATTCCTCCAAGCACCAAGCATTGCTGCACAGCAGCGCGTAGGCCAGCGGCCGCTCACACGCTGGCTTGCAAGCCGCTCCCTGCTCGTGCAAATCTCCCCAAGAACTCTCGTCTGCAAGGGCGACAAGAGAAGGCCAGGCCCACTGGCCACCAGGACAAGAGCCTACCAATCGGGTAAGACATAGCGCTCACCATCTCTCTCAGCCGGTCCGCAGAGCCCGCTCCCAGTGTGAACTCTCCCCATCCCTTCCTACTTGTCCACAGAGAACCAGGCCTGGCACCGCTGCAGGACCAGCCCTGCCCCAAAGAACCCGCCCGGCACAGGGCTGCCCAGACACAGCATAGAACCATAGAGCTGGAAGAGACCTCAGAAGGGCATCAAGTCCAGCCCCTTGCCCCAGGCAGGACTCAATCAACCCGGCCAGGGCTTTGTCAAGCCGAGACTTACACACCTCTAGGGATGGAGACTCCACTACTTCCCTAGGTAACCCATTCCAGTGCTTCACCACCCTCCTAGGGAAATAGTTTTTCCTAATAGCCAACCTGGATCTCTCCCACCACAACTTGAGACCATTGCTCCTTGTTCTGCATCTGTCACTACTGAGAACAGCCTCTCTCCATCCTCTCTGGAACCTCCCTTCAGGAAGTTGAAGGCTGCTCTCAAATCCCCCCTCACTCTTCGCTTCTGCAGACTAAACAGACCCAAATCCCTCAGTCTCTCCTCATAGGTCATGTGCTCCAGCCCCCTAATCATTTTGGTTGCCCTCCCCTGGACCCTCTCCAATGTGTCCACATCCTTTCTGTAGTGGGGGGCCCAGAACTGGACACAATATTCCAGATATGGCCTCATCAGAGCCGAATAAAGGGGAACAATAAGCCTGGCACCGCTCAGGACCAGCCGTGCCCCAAAGAACCCGCCCAGCACAGGGCTGCCCACCCGTAGCATGGCACCGCTGAAATACCAGCCTTGCCCCAAAGAACTCTCATTTTCCCTCTGAATCTCCCCTCATCGCGGTCTCCAGCCTAGGCCAGGTGTCCAGAGGTGCAGGGAGAGGACTGCAGAGCTGACCCTGGGCTCTGCCCAGCACTTTGGCACGCCAGGATAAGTGGGCTCAGCCACGTTCCCACCTCAGGCCTCCCCCCAGGGCCTCCTTGGTTGTTCTGCCCTGCCAGGCCCTCCCCTGCCCCAGCCCCAGCACCTACTCTTGTCGAAGATGGGCTCGGAGAGGACGGGGCTGAGTTGCCGGGTCTGTCCCGAGGGCTCCTGGTACGAGGCCTGGAAGCAGATCCGCACCACGTTCATGTCCACCTCCTGGTGGTTCTTCAAGGAGCCAGCTGCAGAGGGGGAGCAGAGCGTTCAGCGCCCAGAGGCTCCCTGTCGAGTTTGGAAAGCCCCCCAGGGCTCTGCCCCACGCTGCCCCAGGCCAGGCCATTCTTACAGCAGAGCATCTCAGAGATCCGGCCCCGCCTGGCCCCGCACTGCCGGGACGAAGCCTGCCAGCCCTATTAGCACCCAGTGACCCTGCAAAGAGCCATTCGAGTGGTAACGAAGCCGTTTGATGGGCACTCGTCTACCGCAGGGACAGACTGTCAGTTTCTGAGTTTCCTGTGTTAGTGACCAGGACCTCCCTTGGAAATCTGCTTTAAAACGACTTCCGTAGCGTGCTGCTGAAGAGGATAAAATCACAGCTCTAAAGAGTTGCCCCCCGCCTGCTGTTGGGCATCGCGGCACCAGTTGAATAGTACTGCGTAAGGCGGGGTGGGCAATAATGTTTGCCCGGGGGCCACTTCAAAAATTTTTGAAGCAGCCCCGGGCCACCCCAGAAAGGGCGGGGCCTAAATGGGAAGGGGCGGGGCCTAAACAAGAAAAGGTGGGGCTACCCCACCCCCACACCAAAGCTTCACGCAGCTCCCCCGCCCCCCCGGTTCTGATTGGCCTGGGGGAGTGCTTGAAGCCTCCTCCGCTCTCCCCCCGCCCTGTGAGCAGCTTCAAAGCGCCACGTGCTCTTGGCAGGGCGGGAGGAGGCTTCGTGCGTCCCCCCCACCCCCAGCCAATTAAGGCCTGGGGGCAGTGGAGCAGCAGGGCCTCCACAGGCCGGATCCACCCGCTTGCCAGGCCGGATCCAGCCCGCAGAGGCCCTTTTGCCCGGCCCTGGCGTGAGGCCCCATGGATCCAAAGGAGGGCCCTGAACTCAGTTTGGGGGGGTGCTGGCGGATCCCGGGGCCTGAAGAGGCTGTCACAGTTCCCGAGGTGACACGCCATCCCACCCTGCTCCAATACCTGACCTTCTCACTCCTCAATGGTGCTGCCTGGCTGGGCGGACGCGGTGGGGGCCCAGAAGGGATGGGAGGGGGACCAGGGCTCGCTGGGGCCACGCACCTTTAAATGGATCAATCCCCAGCTGCAGCTTCTTTTCTATGGCTGCTTCAATCTCCTTCTTCGTTCCCGAGGTGACACGCCATCCCACCCTGCTCCAATACCTGACCTTCTCACTCCTCAATGGTGCTGCCTGGCTGGGCGGACGCGGTGGGGGCCCAGAAGGGATGGGAGGGGGACCAGGGCTCGCTGGGGCCACGCACCTTTAAATGGATCAATCCCCAGCTGCAGCTTCTTTTCTATGGCTGCTTCAATCTCCTTCTTCTTCACACACTGGATGCCAAGGTTGTTAAAACTGCCGGGAACCAGAGGAGATGCGTCGGAGATGCTGTGGGTAAGGCTGGGGCCGGGGCTGAGGCCGGCCACCATGGCCCACCCAAGGCTTTGCCATGGGCCACGAATACCCTTGAAACTTTGCAGGGTTCTCATAGGGTATAAAAGCAGGGCTCCATGTGGGCACATCAAAAGCCACTATTTAATCCAGTGGTCACCAACCAGTCGATCAGGATCTACTGGTAGATCTTGGAGCCTCTGACAGGTGATCTTTACTGGTTTGGCAAAGAGGCTATCAAGTGCTGGCACTACAACTGCCCCTCCCCCCACTGCTTGCTGCTCCTGCCCAGAGCCTCAGAACTGTGCCCCCCCACCCCGGGAGGCTCCTGCTTGTTGTGCAGAGTGGGGGAGACCGAGGCAGGGGGGCACTTATGTCACTCTGTCCCCTTCTCCTGTACCCCATCTTCACAGAGTAAAGAGGGCGGGGCCTCAGCAAAGGGGCGGGGCAGGGCCTCAGAGAAGGGGAGGGGCAGGGGTACTTGGTTTGAGGTAGGTCCCGGTCTGACAAATTGTGCTTAGAAAGGTTGGCGACTCTGAACTTTTCCAGCCATGTCCAGATTTTTCCATCCGTGTGCAGAATAATTTTATGTGCACCAAGGCCGGAGTGATAAAACAACCCTCACTGTGGGTGCTCTGCTAATCAGCTGGGCAGGACTGGAATCTCCCCTGAGCGGCTGCTCACATGCCCAGCTTCCAGGGCACGCTGCCTGGGGGCTTGGTGTAATGCTGCTTCTCTTAGGCTCTCATTACGGTGCCCAGAGCCTTCCAGGCCTGCTAGGGGACGGCCTGCATTGCTGAGGATTCAGCTTCAGTCCTGGTGGCGAGGCTCAGGGCCCCAGGCTTCTGGCCCATGCACGGGCACTTTGGCTCTCTGTGCGGAGTCCCAGCTAGTCTAAGACTGGCCCTACTTGGCAGGCTCCCTGGAACCTGCTCATGGCCCCCCCCGGGGGCTCTGGAGCCCTGGATGCGAACTGCTGGGTTAGGGGCAGTTTTTCTGCATGGTGCGGGCTGGGCGACACCAGTCCTTCTAAGGCAGGGAGAGGACTGGTCTGTCACCAGGCCAGAACCATGGCAGACGCTTTGTTGGTCGCATGAGGTTCACAAGCTGCTGGGGGCACAGGAGGATGGGTGCTGGCCTTCTGCAGACAGGCAGGAATGGTGTCACTAGCCTCGGGGTGGGCAAACTTTTTGGCCTGAGGGCCACCTCTGGGTACGGAAATTGTAGGGCGCACTGGATAGGGAAGGCTTGGGGAGGCCGTGTCTCCCCAAACAGCCAGCTGTGGGCCAGCTCCCGACCTTATGCAATCCCCCACTGCTGTCACCCAATCCCTCCTGCTCCCCACCCCCGACTGCCTCCCCAGGCCTCCTATCCAACTTCCCCTGCTCCCTCCCCCCGGAACCCCTGCACCTATTCAAGCCCATCTGCTCCCTGCCACCAACTGTGCTGCCCACAGCACTGGGGCTGGTGATGTGGCAACCACGCCACCCGGGCAATGGGGAAGCTGAGGTGGCCCGGGCGGGAGAAGAGGGACCCTGCTCAACATGCTGCAGAGGAGCTGGGCTTGCTTCTCCCGCCAGGGCTGTCCCAACCAGTGTTCCTTGTAGCTGAGCACCCATGTGGCCGCTCAGGAGAGGTTCAAACGACACCCAGCTGATTAGCAGAGCAACTGCAGGGCGGTTTTTTTGTTTCTACTGGTGGTGCACATTGGCAACCACCTCAGTGCACCGAAAAAATATTCTGCACATGGATGGAAAAGGTCAGAGGGGACATTGGTCCCGGCCCCGCTCCCTGGGGGCAGCTCAGAGGCTGGACTGAAAGGGGTGATGCCAGCTGCCCAGGGCCCTGTGCCAGCTGCCTCCGTTGCATGTGGCCCACAGGCCTCAGTTTCTTGCCCCCCGCACTAGTCTTGGTTTGCCAGAAGTTGGGCATGGACGACCAGGGAGGGATCACTTGGTGATTATCTGTCCGTTCCCGCTGGAGCACCCGGCCCTGGCCCCTGTGGGCAGACAGGACACTGGGCTAGAGGGACCTTTGGGCTGACCCAGTCTGGCCGTTCTGATGTCGAAATAAAGGAGAGGTTTGGGGTGGCTCAGCTGAGGTAGCTGCAGACATCCCATTGTGCCCCAAAGGGACACGGGGGATTGATCACATGTGGGGAGGGGAGGTCACGGGAGGAGCATTCTGGGGAAACCACCCGGCCGCATTCCTCAAAGCCCTTTAGAGGGAATCCCCATGTGAGTTGCCAGCTCATAACCCTGATGTCGAAATAAAGGAGAGGTTTGGGGTGGCTCAGCTGAGGTAGCTGCAGACATCCCATTGTGCCCCAAAGGGACACGGGGGATTGATCACATGTGGGGAGGGGAGGTCACGGGAGGAGCATTCTGGGGAAACCACCCGGCCGCATTCCTCAAAGCCCTTTAGAGGGAATCCCCATGTGAGTTGCCAGCTCATAACCTGCCCTGCCCCGCCCCCTGCCGGAGATGTGCTGAGGCGGGCCCTGTACCTGTGCTTGGGGTTGGCCTGGGGCCTCAGGCTGATCTCGCAGAGCCCGTTGCTGCAGTCTTTCCCCACCAGGCTGTGAGGGTGGATGCGGTGGGGCCAGTCCTTCCACACCAGGCAGGCGACCACCTTCACCTCGGGGATCTTCTGGCAGTTCAGCAGCTGGGGAAACGGCACCCGCTCAGTGCCAGGCCTCCGCCATGCCAGGGGGCAGGAGACCCAGCCCTGGGTTCAGTGTGTAAATAACCTGCCCAGTAAATTCCCCACCCCTCTCCCCCGGGGCAGGTGAGCGACCCTGCAGCCAACGGGCTGCCCAGGCTGGGTCCTGACTGCCGCCGCATGAAACAGCAACACACGTGGGGCACAGAGAGCCAGGATTTGGCAGCCCCGGACCCTTCCAAGCCCTCCGGTGCCAGCACTGCTGCTGGGGCTGTGACTGCCGCATGGGCACCTGGCAGGAGCACCCAGGGCCCTGGGTATCTCTTCCACCCCCAACCTCGGTGGGGTGCCAAGAGCCAGGGAGAGAGAGAGGAGGGGGCAAGCCTCCTGTACCTTCCTCTCCTGTGTGGCGGGCAGCACTACCATGGGTGTATGTTTGCCGGAGCCCAGACCAGGTCCACGCAGAGCAGTCCCTTCCATAGGGCAGCCCGGGGCAAGTGGCCCAGGCCCTGCGCTTCAGGGGGACACGTGGGCCAAGGCAGCCTGGGGGACTAGCGGGAGTCTGGCACCAGCAGCAGAAAGCAGTCCAGCTGGCCCCCCTTTCGCCCCTCCCCCCATGGCCCCCCCCACCTCTTTTTGGCTTCCACCCCCTCCTCCACGCAACACCGGGAGCCGCCGGGGTAGGGTGGAGCGGAGCTGGGCTGGCGCTGGGTCACTCGCTGCTATTGGCACCAGGCCCCCCAGCTGCCCTGGACTCCATGTTCCCCTGAAGCACAGGTCCCCCCCCAGAGTGCAGGGCTGGGGTCGGTTGCTCTGTTCTGTCCCACGGCTGGGGCAGGTCTGAAAACATGAGCCAAGCACTGCTCGCGTCAGGGGTGGAGAGGAACTGTCACACCCGCCCCACTCACCTCGATGGCTGGCAGGGTCTTGTTGGCATCCGTGCTGCTCTCGCCCAGGATGCTGCCGGCCGACCTGCCTTCGCACTCATAGCGGAAGCGCATCCCCCGCTGCTTCGGCTGCTCCGTGAACCACACCCGGG